AAAAGACGCAGGACAGCGACCGAACAACGCTTCATACTAGCTGTGATAAGTATAAGTATGTCCATGATTCCACACTCTCTGCTTCCACAGCTGCCATGTTCCCCACCAAAAATTCCGCGCCGTCTTCGTCAAGGTCACGCGAGGAAGAGGACCAGACCGGTGTCAACGAAAAGGCCGAACATATAGGCAAGGAGGTTTCACCAATCGCGCTCACTGCCCAGGAGGAGAGAAGAATCTGGAGAAAGGTCGACCTCCGGCTGATGCCCATCCTCAGTTTGATCTACCTGCTTTCTGTCATGGATAAAGGTTATTACTTTTGACTACCAGTGCCTTTCTCATTTCATCCCCTTGTACTTAACATAATGGTTTATCCACACAGGGAATATCGGTACGTACTGTCGTTCTTCACTCAAGTGAGCCGTCCTCTAATTGCGTATGTCAGGGAATGCCAAACTAGAAGGCCTGGTCACACAGTTGAATCTCACTGGCAACAGATACAATATAGCTTTGGTGCGTGTGTCGATGTGCTCGAGATGTGTGTTGAATGGTGACCCGACACCAACAGACCATGTATTACATAGTAAATGTGTTATTATATATGGTCTCGAGCTTGTCGTGCTCACGTCATACCAGCCATATTGCGTCTTTGAATTCCCCTGCAAGTGCGTGACTGACGAAGATTTTTGCATGACCAACTTCTCAAAGGCCCATTCATTTCAGCCTCCTCCTCAAAGTCGTTCGTCCTTCAAGGTAAGGTTTGGTCACCTCCAGAGATAAACGCGCAGACTGATACATTTGGAATGCAGGTGGCTCCCAGGACTTGCTGTAGGTGCTCATCGTCCATCGCTCCTTTACTTGGCTTAGATCACTGTGTAGATTTTATGGGGAATTGTCATGTACGATTCGCGATATTTATGTCCGCGATGTGCTACACTGCTGAAGAATAGTTTTTTGATGACCATATAGGGCCCTCATGAGTCTTGTCAAAACGTATGTTCAGATGTTGTGTTTTTAGTCCTTGCCCCAACTTCTCGAAGGTACCCCCAGCTTGTCACAGTGAGGGTCTGCCTCGGAATTGCAGAAGCCGGTCTCTTCCCTGGCATCGCATACTAGTACGCAACCCCTTCTTTTAGGGGTACTGGGTACTGAAGAAGCCTGCGTAATTCCTAGCCTCACATTCTGGTACCCGAGAAATATGCTACAGTTCCACATTGCTCTCTTCTCCGGAGCGGCATCATTGGCTGGTGAGTAATAGTGTCTAATAGCGTCTGGTCAAGTACTACACCGACGACCGCGTCTAGGCGCTTTTTCGGGTCTCCTGGCTTATGCTATCAGTTATTTGAACGGAAAAGGGGGCCTCGAGGGATGGGCGTGGATATTCGTTCGTTGTCCCTACCCACTATTATTCCACATGCAATGCTCACGCGAGTCACGTACAGCTTATCGAAGGCCTTGCAACCGTGGCTGTCGGAATTCTCGCCCACTTCGGTATATCATGTCCTCCCCACTTCCCTTCTCTGCTTGTGCCTGATAGCAAATGTCAGTTCTCGCCGACTTCCCCCAAACGGCCAAGTTTTTGACCGCCGAGGAGCGTGCTTTCGTTGTAGCGAAGAACAGTGAGTACCCGTAGTGGTTTTGTATTTTAGTAGATGACCTATATCTCGATCTCCATGGGACAGAGTATGACCATTCTCCCTCGGGGGAAGAAGATCGTTTTGAAGCACGGCATGTCTGGGCGGCTTTCACTGACTGGCAGGTGTGTCTGAGTTCCGTTGGCTGCTGTTGTCGGTTTCACCTCCGTCTGATAGGTTTGGATGCACATCCTCATTCTGATATCAGTTGATGCGGCCAGTAAGTCGGTGCACCAAAAACGGTGTCGCGTAAAAAAACTCATCTCTTTCTCTCAGTTTTCGGTATCACGCTATTCTTACCGTTGAGTTTCTCGGGTCCAAATCCCTTGTAACGACATCGTGCTCACACATTTATTGCAGTACAATCATCAACAGGCATGCTGCATTTGCTCTTCCTACGTGCTTCAGCTTACATTTTAGCTGTACCCTGCAGCTTTGGCTACAGCACCACAATTAGCCAGCTTCTTACCGTTCCGCCATATGTCGTCGCAAGTGAGTTTGATCTTGACCTTCTTGGTCCACGTAGCTCATATCAAGCTCGAACAGCCGCCTGCACCATCACTGCCGCCTACTACTCGGACAAGCTAGGGATCCGCTCGCCGTTCATTCTCGCCGGCCTAGTTGCGTGCGTGGTCGGATACTTGATCAACATCTCAGATGCTCCAGCAGGCGTCAAATACTTCGGGACGTTTTTCTGCGTAGCCGGGAGTTACTCTGCTGGCCCAGGGGCTATCGCTTGGTCTGTATCACATATTCTGCAGCGACCTGAAATAATTTTGACACTGTCTCTCTTCATATACTTGAACATATCGGCAGGCTCGGTAATAACCTTGTTGGGGAGTATAAGCGCGCTGTCGGAATGGCTCTTCAGATTGCTATGGGCAATTTTACAGGGGCAATCGTGTCGAACATATATAGGTCGCAAGATTCTCCGCGTTTTATTCTGGGTCGTGAGTCCGAAGCTCGATTATTTTGTTGCCCTGATAATGACTCGGACATGTTCCCCAGACGCCCTAGAGCTAATGTTCGTTGGCATCGGACTCGTGTGTGTCCCGATTGTCGTACTCTTGTATAGGAGGATAAATAACCAGCGAGATCGGCTGTGGCAGAAGGGCGAGGGGCGGGACTCCGGAGGGGACGCATCTGATTTTAGATACATGTTATAGGCTGTGACGATCTTGCGATTGGAGATTAGACGGCTGGGACTGCGAGAACCAGTCTGTCACAGAGCTGTGACCCACATAATAGCCTCTTGAGTGGGATGTTAGGCAATATTTTTTATGTTGGACAACGACCATCCAGCGTTGATCCCGCATGTTGAGTTATCTTATTATACGCCCCGCGATACGTGGGCCATGTGGTTTGCGTGCTTCGTGAATCCGGCCTTGCCGCTGGTCTCATGATAGTATCGATGGCCTCGCTTCAAGTCGTTTGATGAGCCTGATCCTCAAGGCTTGCCACTGGCTCGGTCTTCTGGTCATGTTTCTATTCGAACCGTCGAATCCAGGTCCTCGTGCCAGGCTCCTTATAACCTGGACTTGGGACCGGCCCTTGTTCGCGCTGCATCCTAACCTCCATTTGATTTCGACCAATGGATCTGGTCGACAGGTCCCAGACAGTCTCGACAGATACTCCGCGACGTTATCTTCGAAGAGAATGGAAAAGGAATAAGCCGGTGAGGTCCATGTTGAGACTGCAGCGACGATTAGATCCATTGACGCACCATCCGTATCCAGCATTTGCCACGTTCAGACTCTCTCCCAATGCTCCGCCTCTGCCCCAGCAGGCCCTTGTTCACATGTGCTCGTTGTGGATTTTCGAACACGCTTATTCCGCTGTGCCTGTGGTGTCGATGGACATCCGAGGAGGCGACGAAGGAATATGAAGAACGCCTGCCGAGACCGCGCCGTTTGAGTGCTCCTGCAAAGGTGCAGACGAATGCTAGACCCGTCTGGGTGAGGAAACAACCAAAAAGAATGTCAGTCGATTCGATGCGTTCAAGTGTAGGACCCGAGACTCCGCAGGGTGACAATGCTTTCTCCGCGGAGCTCGACGTGCCTGGGATTACGGCAGTCCTAGAACAGGGCAAGCTAGAAGAGAGGGGCGCGCAGCAGTACCAATTCGACGAGCCAACACCCGAGGCTTGTTGTCACCGCCCAGGAGAGGTTAAAGTGAACGGAGGCGACGTCACAACGGCCGACGTCGTCACAGCAACCTCAATAAAGGTGAGTGTTGTCCTCGTGGAGGCGAAGTTAAACAATCGACATTCTTTGTTGTATGTAGTATTCGTCTACCACTAAGACCGTCGGTGCTACATTGGACTTGGAAGAGCAAAAGTACGAGAGGGAGAAAAAGTCACAAAAACGATCTATACGCCACCGCCGTCACCTTCCCGACCTCTCCTTACGAGTGAAGACCGAGCGTGTACGCCTTCATCACTCCATGAATATTCCTCACGAACCTCATGACCAACTCACTACTCCCACAACTGACGAAGCCATCTCATCTCAGTCTCATCTGATCAGGTCCTCTGATGCATTACGCCTGTCCCAACCTGATGCCACTTGGAGCCGGGGCAGAGCGACCCCGGACGCCATACCACCGCCATTGTCCGCACTCTCCACTGTACCGTCACAATGTTCGCCTCACCGGGCATTACGCAGGAAGAAACGCATGACACTCCTGAAACGCAAATCATCCATATCGCTTCGTTCACGCGTGCGGACACCATCTCCCTTTCTTAGCCGAGTGGAAACTGCTACACCATGTTCAGACCCAGCGAGATCATCCTACATGCTTTCTCTAGCCTCATCGATGGGGATTGACCCTCCTGCTCGTTTGGGCCATCCGAGTCGGCCGTACTACACCGCCATACGACAGAACATGTCCCGACCCACCACTCCCTGCTTGCCCCGAACCCCTTCTCCTGTCTCGCCAGAGTTCGACTACATGCCACGAGGAACGAGGTCGCTTGATTGTGGAGAACGGCTATCTATGGAGTTTGGCTGCCAATCACGCCCGATGTCTATGGTGCTACCCGGGCATATTACGTCTGCGTCACCGTTTTCGGGATTCTCGCTGAGTGGAGAAACAGAGATGAGGATGGCGTTGGCGAAGTGGAGACATGAGGATGCCCCGGATGTGCCTGGAGACTATCATTTTCATGACATGGGACAACGTGGCAAGGTAGGTGTGAAAGGCAAGGTGAAGAAACTAGGACAGGGCTTGAAGGAACTAGTGCTTGGACGGACTTGTTGAACAACGTTAAAGTTAAATGTTAACCGTTGATGTTAGTCCATCGTTGTGGTGACGAAGTCAGAAGAGCTTGATTCGAGTATACCTGTCCAGTAACTCAGTTAACAAAAAAGCTGAACCCGACCCGGATTGAACGGATGACCTTATGGAAATCCCGCTTTCTCTAGCACTGGAATCATACGCGCTACCACTGCGCCACGGGTTCATATTTAAAATTCGCCCCATAGCGAGTATCGACTACGTGAATTCATAAATGATTAGTTTATCTGGTGTAACTGAGAACGTGCCGGAATGAACGACCACATGGCAGTGGGGACCCGTAGATACATCAAATCAAAGAAGGGACAGTGCCAGGAATGTACTCTAGATTATCCTCCTAGCTCACTTCCGAGAGAATAGCGCAAACCTCCGCTTCGGACCCCTGGTGCTGTTACCGTCAATCCGCGTTGCAGATGACGCCGGGCTAGGGCTGCTATCTCCACTGCGACCTTTCCGCATGTAGAATAAAAGCGAGTGCCGTGCTGGCGACGAACTCTGGGCTTTGGATGTGGTAGGTGTACTTGACCGGGAAGGTGGGGATGAATCCCCTGACTGCGGGAGCACCTTTGAGCGGTAGGCAGGAGTCGAAGGGGGAGATGAGAGACTGATATGCGAAAGAGGGGGCGTCATCTCGAAAGGTGGGAGCGCGAATGAAGTATATGGACCGGTGTAAGACTCTTCCGACGGCTCTGGAATGGCGGGAAGAGTGCTTGGAAGGACCTCCTTATACTTTGACGATAGGTCTCTCTCCGATAACGATATATCATCATGGATAAGATCAAAGTCTCCCAATAGGTCCAACGCATACTCCGGGATGCGCACATCGTCGTCGCGGAGATTGGCTAGAATCTCCGCACGAGGACGGGGCTGTGCGCGCTCATATATTGTTGCAACGCCCCCGTTATCTCCCACTGCCTGAGCGGACGACGAAGACGTTTCCGACGTAATGGATAGCGGCGGAGTGGAAGGTCGTGTAGAAACAAGGTCGTCAGACCCATGATTAGATGGAGTGGACGATATGCGGGATGAAAGGGGCGCAGGACGACGATTTGAGGCTGCCCGTGTGCCGTTCTCTGCAACCATTGTGAGTGGTGATCGAGGAGCTCGTCCATTGCTAGTGGGTGTCCATGGTTTTCTGGAGCGAATGGCAGAAATGGACCGCTCACCGTCCAAGGACGCCCTACGACTGTGGACGCTCGAAAATCGCCGCATAGGAGACACTACCGTTGAAGGTCTTAGGCGGATAGGCGAGACGTCGCTGATGGTCATGCGGCGTGAGAAGGTGCTGTAGTCGGGGAGAGGCGTGGGCTTATGACCGATGCTGAACGACGTCCTCGTGGGGGAGTATTGGAGAAAACGTGCCAGGTTAGCACGCCGCTTTGCCTCGTTGTCGATTGTTTTAGTCAAAACGATATTCTCGGAATCTTGGCTCCTATTGCGATCCACTTTCAATGACGCCAGTTGCTGAGTCAGCTCTTTCACTTCGCTATCCACCGCGGACTGCCGTTTCTCCATCATCCACCGTTCCTGCTGCAATGCGCTGTAACTCGCGGGATCAACTTCTCTGTCTGCAAGACAAAGTCTGAGTTTGGCAACCCGGTCCCGCGAATCGTGCGCATGGGCGCTGAGCAACGCTGTCGCTTGCTCTAGCGCCTGGATCTGCAGTTCTTGCGGGGACCGTTGTGAACTAGGACTACGAAGGGCATCTGCTAGTGCTTGTTCAGCCACGGAATAACGCCGTTCTCGGCGGTCTCTAGAGGATCCACCTGTTGGAGAAGGGAGGATCGTGGTGGGATTAGGCCGGCCAAAGGTATGGCAGGTGTTGGGGGTGCTGCGGATTACATGTTCGTAGCAGCTCACGAGTAAAAATTGCGTGAGGTCGACTCACTATGATAGATTCGGCGTGAGATAGTCCTTTGGGGGTTGAACCGTGTTGGTGCGCTCCTAGAAACAGCCAAGATGAACGGAGGTGCACATAATGTAAGGCACGTGTCAACGTACGCCTAACGCTGCCTTCATGTCTGGGATGCTGCTGGTGACGATTCTCAGTGTGGGAGGCTTCAAACCGTGGTACCTAGGCGGCTCCGGCGCATCAAGATGTTCGTCAATTCGATCAAGGATTCTCTGACCGATCATTGATAAAAATATAAACCAACGGTCCAGAAATAAGCCAAGAGAAAGGACAGTATTTCGAGTTGGCCTATAGAGGTTGTTAGGATTAGTGCTGTGTATATACTGCGTAGGAGGTAAAGAGCACACCAACACGACCTGCCGGAGCCGACCACCCTGGCAGCTCACACGTCGGAGTTAGAACCCTAAGAACGCGCAATCTTGGCAGGTCCCTTGGTCGTTCGCGTATGAATTCTGCGATTCGTCCGTCCAACTTCTTCACCAATAATATTTTCATATCTCTGGCTATTGCATATAATCCGACCACAGAGGAGGTTACTTTCTATCCTCGAGTGTCGCGGTTGACTTTGACCACGTGGTCATAAAATCAACGCACGTGACGATCGCCTCTGAAGAAAGATTCGCAGGGACGCATATAAATTATCGTTGTACAAGTACATAAGGATACATCGATGTTGATCCAAGCTCCACTGATGTCACTGTCCTGTGTAGGAATCTCGAAGCGTTACCCCGCGGTCCGCGACATCTTGGTCGAGCGCATCCGATACCTATATAATGATGGTCGCAAAATGAGTGGTTATGACACACCCCATTCATCTGATTCAAGCTGTTACGAGCCTTGTGATCCCGACTTCATTTTGCTGTTCTTTGGGTTGCTAGCGGCTGGACGGTCACACGGTCTGTAACACGAAACAACGCGTACACAGATTACTCCAAGTATCTCCGCTTCAGTCGGTCCACGTTTCTTTGGGCGCAAGAGTGCCTGCCGCCTTGGTTCACCCCAAATCATCCGCGTACCTAATACGTGGATCTCCAAGTTCTTTACATACATAATGACTTATAAAAGCGCACTCTACTATTTCACCAACCTTCCTCTCCTCTATCATCATGGCATCTCCTGATCCTCCATCGATCAGCACGAATTCTCAAGACATGTCTCAGCGATGTTCAGTGTGGGCGAGCAAGTTCGGCATCGCGGATATTGCTCAAGATCGCGTCCAATGGAACAAAGACTGGGAAAGGTGTCTTAAATCGTCTATGCAGAAATCCAGCTTCGTCTTCGAAGGGATGCGATATATAGGGGGAGCCACCGCGGAAGAGCGGGAAGAACACCTCCCGAAGGTCCGGAATGCCCTCGTTAAAGGCCAAAAAAACGTTCACGAGCTCTTGGAGTCATTGCTCGGCCGAGGGAGGTTCGACACGATGTGGCTTCTCCTCGAAGAGCCCGAGCGCAAAAAACACCTTTTTCATGGTTTGGAGGTCGCTTCCAAGCACTCGTTCTTCGGGGAGGATGGGCGTGCTTATTGTCCCGAGATCACGTTGGCTGGGATGCTCAAAGAGAGAGGAAACGCTTATATCAAGTTCATCCAGCTCTTTGAGGAGACGAGAAAGTCCGTTGGTGAAAGCGACGGACCTTTTTATCTGCCGAGTGACTGGTGGGATCATGCAGTGGACGATGTTGCTAAACCACTTTCAGACGGCGATCAATTCGTTTATACAATCCTCACGCTGGGGAGGAACGAGTTCATATGTAAGTCAAAGGCTTTACCACCCTGTTTCGAGCGCGGGATTGCATGGAACATTGAACACGCATTACCACCCAGGTCAATTCATACGCGGTGTCGCTGAATCCTTTGCTAGTGAGGTCGTACATGGGGGCAGGGATATTGATTCCGTCCTTAAGGTCATGGATGAGGACGGCGCCATCGCTGACGGATTTGCGAAGGCCATGCAGAGCATGCGAGACAAACCCATCATCCGCTGCGAGAACTGCGAACGAAGTGCAGATGAACTTGGTCCTGATACGCGCTTTATGGTATGCAGTACCTGCAAGACGAAGCTGGACTTTAGCCTCCATTATTGTTCACAGTACGCATCTTCTCTGCCTCGTCCATCAGTTCTTAACGAATGTCGTGTGTTCCATTCTCGCCCAGGAAATGTCAGAAAGAGGATTGGCAGAGGCACAGGCTTAGCTGTGGAAAGAAGAAGGTTTCAAAACGCCTCCCGGGGACAGCTGGGGACAGTGCATGGGCCCACCCCCTACTTCCCGAATTTTACCGCGAACAGCTAAACAAAGGCAATGGTCAAACTACAAGTATCCGTTCCATCGGCCCCGGAACACCTCAATACACGCGCTCCCCTGCCCTCCAACACCAAGTATCCATGATTGAAGCAGATAAAGACGCAGACTACTTCCTCTTCACCCCCTCCCGAGAGCCGATCCGCTTCGTCATCGACGACTTTTTCTTGAAGCTGGTGTTCAGACTCATGCGTACCGATGCGATGTCGAACCGAGACCAACAGGGTGTGGCGCCGATAGCACAATATCTGGTGAAAGCAATGGCTGGGTCACCGGGGCTGAGCAAAGATACAATTTTGAAGCAGATGTCGGAAGAATATGGGGGTGATATTAGTGCAAAGTTGAAGCGGCTTGAGGAGAAAGGGCCACCCGGGGTCACATTTCTGGAAAGGATGAGCAAGGGTATGACGGCGATGGGCCCGAAGTTGATGAATATGAAGTAGAGACGACAGGAGGAACATTTCATCATGCTTACAAGGGTGTAGCATCGTTGGATGACGAAGCATGGATAACGGGGTGTCGTTCCCTCCTACGGTTTACAGATCATATTCATATCCAATGTTTGCCCCAAAAACAGTCCCAAAATCCACCGCATCACGGACTCATTGCCAAGACCAGTATGACGGGCAGACGCTGGGTCTCGGTGTGCACCTTCACACGTCTGAAATTAGAGGTGACTCGGACCCTGAAAAGGTAACTTGACGCTCAGCCTTGAACGCAACGCTCCGTGGGCCATGGCAGCTCGGTGACTCTGAAACACAATCCGTATGGACTGGTGCTCCCTGGTCGCAGAGCTTGATGACGATGTGACTATGGGTTCCAGCTTCCGTTCCAACTGCGGATGATCACTGATGTGTGATAGATGCCAAGTCCTTGATGTGACGCTGATTCATCCGAGTGGTGATCCGAGAAGCATGGATCCTTTGGCGTTCAAGATGCTGCTGGTCTCTGGTGTG